CTCTGTTCACATACAACTTTAATGTTTCATGAACTTGTTTCTAAGAACAAATAAAATGCAGTATTCTCAAGTGGGAGTGCCCTGTATATACTTTTCATTGCAAAGAATAACTTTTTAATAACTTACATGCATTTCATATATTATATTAGTGTGTTTTTTTGGTATTGGAATCTTTGCAATGGGTTTTTAATTTTTATATAGCACATGTTTTTATCTATACTCTCTAGTCTTGGGTGTATCAACGAGCATGTTGGCTTATGTACTATGAAGCATTTAACTCATTCAATAAGTGTGATGGTTAGTGTTAATTGTTAACTAGACAGATATAAAATAACCTGAGAGGTAAGTCTATGGGAGAATTTCTTGATTTAATATTCAAAGCAGAAGCCCCACCCACTCTTGGTGGCACCTTTCCCTACCTGGGACCCTGGACTGCATAAATAAAGAAGGCAGGCTAAGAGCAGGAGCTTTCACTGCCCTCGTCTCTTGATTATGATTGTGATGTGGGAGCTGCGCTCAGGCTGTCTTGACTTTCTCACCTTTGTGAACTGTAAGCCAACCTTTTCTCCCCTAGGTTGCTTTAGTCAGAGTATTTCATCATATCAACAGGAACAAAAGTGAGATACTAACTCTCCTTTTCTAGTTTGACTCATTCATGTGAATACACAGATACACATACAGGCAGGCACACTTATGCATATACAGTCTGCTTAGCTCTGTTCATCTCTGTCCTACCCTTACCCACCTGCTCACATTGATCAAATATTCCTTCTATTCATGTTTTTCTTAGGTTTTGTACTTCTGTAGATCATCTTGGCCTAGAACAGATATGTATCATTACCTCCAATGTCATTTTTTTGCTTGCTCTATTTTGGTAAATAGTACTAGGATCTATTTTTCTATTACCTATACAGAGATCTCCAATATATACAAATAAATACCTTGTTAATTGATTGTTCGAATAAGATCTAAGGCAGCTTGCTCATATAGGTATCAATTTCACTGTGTATGAAGCATTCTGAGACTCAGCCATGCTCTCTGACTTTGCCTTTGTGGTCTGTGCTCTCAGGTAGAACACAGACATCTCAACTATTCTTCACACTTAGTTGAGCTGTGACCTGCACTCTTCTCAGACACCAAATAAGCATTCTCTGGTTCATTGCTCAGCCTCCCAATGAAGTAAATGTTCAGAAAAAGGAGGTGACCGAAAGCCCTGGCAAATATTTCAAGGGTTGAGCTAACTGCTCCCCTGATGAATTGATTTTGCATTTGTGCTATAACAACTTTTCAGAGTCCTAACCCCGCCTATGCAAAACAAGAATCAGGTGAATGTTGCCTGCAAGGGAGTTAGTAGTTAAGTACTCAGGTAGTTCTGGCACAAAGGCCCAGGATTTGTTGTGGTTTCTTAAACAATTTCTCACTAGATAAAATACAAAAAAAAAAAAAAAGCAATATAGCAGATTCTCCAAAAAGAGAAACTAGAAAATCCTGTTCCAATAAATGTATTAGAACACTATAAATTCTAAAATACATGAATTAATCCTTTTTCACTTATTAACACACAATAAATATGACAGAAATGGAGTTCTGTTTTGTTTTGTTTTATTTCCAACTTGACACAAGCTAGCAACCAACAAAAACCCCACCTCAACTGAGAAATATCTTCATCAGATTGTCTACAGAAAGTTTGGATGACATTTTCTTGATAAATGGATGGATCTGAGAGAGTCTAAGCCACTGAGGGTGACTATACCCCTAGGCAGGAGGTCCTAAGGTGTATACAAAAGTAGCCTGAGAAAGCCATAGACCTCAATTCAGTAGACAGTGTTGCTCCAAAGCTGCTGCTTCAGTTTCTGCCTTCTGGTTCCTGCCTTGAGTTCCTACCCCAACTTACCTCAGGGATGAAGACAGTAAAAATGAAATAAACCCTTCCATCCTCAAGTTGCTTTTGATCACAGTGTATTATGAGAGAAGTAGAAACCCCAACTGTGTATTTGGTGAGGACACAGTTCACTCCCTAACGGTACTTTATACAGGTATGAATGGGTGAGTTACACTCTGATGGCCAGGAAAACAATTCAAATGTGCGGGAACATAGGTAAACAGGTAGAGAAAAAGCCATAACCAAGTTTTCAGTACAGCTGTGTCTCTTTCTACAAGTAAATACAAAGTAACTAAAGTTAAGGCAAAGGGATGAAGAAATTGAATATAGCTAAAGGCATTGACAGCATGGAAAGGGAAAATTATCCAACAAGAGGTGTGAAACCTCAGCTGTTAAGGGGGGCAATTTCTGCTGGTTTCCTGGAATTCATTTTAAACAGTTACCATATGCTTATTGTGCTTCTAGGATGCCCAAGACTGATTATTTGGTGTAAAGCAATATTTACCAAAATTAAATTTAACTAAGAAGGAAAATGACTTTTATTAAATTTTAGAAATATCTATTTTATGAAAAATAATACATTATATTAGATTAAGAAAATAGTAGACTATATAATAAACATAACTATGATTTGTATTTATTCAGTTTATTTGATGTTTTTAATGTACATTGCTGACATGAATTAAATAAGATTTATGTGTTTAATCAACTTCATGTTTCATAGGAGAAGTTGACTTCCTCTATCAATAACACCATCATAAAATGAAACCTACCTCTACTTCTCTAAAGTAGAGGGAGACTAAGTTTACCCATGTGGGCATATTTGATGGTGTCTAAACATGGGTATCTCTAAACACAGTTGTGTCCAGTTGTCAGGGCTGGGGCACTAATAACAAGGATGCTGCGGGTACAGAGAGCTCTACTTAATCTCAGCACAGAAAACAAAATCTATTTCCTTCACATTCCTACACATACCAAAGGATATGGAATATGGGTGTGGGGAGCATACATATTGTGTAAATAGAGAAGAGAATGTGAAATCATTGTGGATACAGAAGAACCAGCTGTGAAGTTGCTCTGCAGGGAGGCTTTCAAATAAACTGAATATGTTGATCTTGTACAAGATAGCAAATCCAGATTACTCCAAATTACATGTTCCAATTTGATAACATTTCATGAAGATTTTATAGCAACAGAACAAAGAACAGCATAAATTGAGGCACTTTCCAAATACAGTAGTTGTAATGCCAGGTGGAAAGGTTACAAAGAAGCAGAGACATCTCGGTTATAAGCCTCAGAAATTATCTGGTGGCCTTCTTAGCTTTTGGATGGCAGTAGCTAAGGAGTCTGTTTGTGTATTGCTCAGCTTGTGTTAAAGTAACAAAGACCAAATAAAACCATTTCTGTATTTTTTAAAACAATAGGAATAAATTAATAAGCATAAATTTCTTTCTTAAAGCTGTGAATCCATTCGTGTGTGTGTGTGTGTGTGTGTGTGTGTGTGTGTGTTAATCTTACGCCCCAGGGAATGATGTAATCAGCTAACTCAAAATAGTACATTCAAAATACAAACACATTTAGCTCTCTTATTACAGAGATTTTCGGTGAGAGCATTCATTCAGTGTGTATAAGAAAACGACACATTAAAGAACAGCAGCCCTGCACAATGGTGGGAGGAGGTGTGAAGAAGTGTCTGAAAATGGCTCTCTTCTGTTCGGCACCTTTTCTAGGACATGTCACTCTGGCAGCCTGCTCCTTCATTTCTTGAATTATTTCACCATTCTATACATTGAGAAACACTATGGACTGTGTAAATATTTCTCAACCACTAAAATGCAAACCAGTTCATAACATGACCTGTGATTGATTCTCCCCTGAGTTTTTTTTTTTCATTGTTCTTTCTTCATTGGCAAGAAGCCATTGAGATTCTTAGTGCCCCTCTTAATGAGTCAGATTCCAGTCTTAACAAGTTAAGTATATATATATATATATATATATATATATATATATATTTCCTTTTTGTGTGTTTTAATATTTATAGTAGTATGTGGCATGCATGTGGTGTATGCACATGTGTGATGGGCTGAGCACCTGTGTATGGAAGCCAAGGGACCAACAGATATCCTGGTTATCACACTACCACTTATCCCCTTGAGACAGCCTCTTACTGAAACTGGGGTACATTCCCGTGTGAATAGACAGTTCACACCCTGCAGCACTGGGGTTACTGGAATGTATCTACTCACCCAGCATTTTTTAATTAATAAATAAATAAATTTATTTATTTATTAAAGATTTCTGCCTCCTCCCAGCCACCACCTCCCATTTCCCTCCCCCTCCCCAGATCAAGTCCCCCTCCCTCGTCAGCCCAAAGAGCAATCAGGGTTCCCTGCCCTGTGGGAAGTCCAAGGACCACCCACCTCCATCCAGGTCAAGTAAGGTGAGCATCCAAACTGCCTAGGCTCCCTCAAAGCCAGTACGTGCAGTAGGATCAAAAACCCATTGCCATTGTTCTTGAGTTCTCAGTAGTCTTCATTGTCCGCTATGTTCAGCGAGTTCGGTTTTATCCCATGCTTTTTCAGACCCAGGCCAGCTGGCCTTGCTCACCCAGCTTTTTATGCAGGTGCTAGGCTTCATTATTGTGAAGCAATCTCTTTTACCCATTGGGCTATTTCCCTTCTTCCCCATTTTGTTCTCCATACTTTTCTAGATGTCTCCTTATTTTTAATAATTGCATACATTGTAAAAGAAATATGATCATATCTACCTCATTTACCTCCTGTAAATTTCCCCCATATTCACCCAACATGCCTGTTTCCAATATTCATTCTCTCTCTCTCTCTCTCTCTCTCTCTCTCTCTCTCTCTCATCTGTCTTTTTTCCCCACCCATCTTACTACTGTCTATATATGCACATCTGTGGGCCACCCACTGGAGCATGGGAAATCTTTCAGTGGCAATTTCACTTTTGACACAGTTATCATTGAATGGGGAATTTTATGGATATCTTTCCCATATTCTTCTCTCTGTCACTCACATTAAATCCTTGGCATTTTAAAGGGTTGATTTGAGCTTGATATCTCCAAAAAAGCCTAAGATACATTTTCTTTCTCTTTTAGCTTCAGACAAGCTTGACTGAACCAATGACATTATCGAAATCCATCTCTCTTCCTCGTAGTGCATACTGGCATCACATTACGCGTCAGAACAGCGTTGGAGAAATCTACAGCTTGCAAGGCAAGTAGCTTTACAGTGACAAAACCACACTGACTGATATCCATGTCCTTCTGTGGAGGAGTCATACAAATTCTGTGTGTTTGCATTGATTGCTTTGTTTTTTAAATTTTGTTTCCATTCAGCAACTGTCTCAGGTCAGAGTAGGAACTCTGAGATTCACCATTACTTTTTCAAGCTATCATTTTATAATGCATGCTATAAAATGATTCCTAAAATTACTATGATGGATAAGGACCAAATTTGCCAGATGTTGATGAAAACATTGTAGAAAGCACATTGTGAAAAGCTGAAAGTTGAGTGATGAGGTCTGTGTTGTGCTGTTTTGCAAAGGACTTCTTTTTCAACATCTTTTATTCTTCCTACGATTAAGCATCTGATCAGGAGTTGGTTTCAGGCCTGGTACTAAAATGCTTCACAAACTTACTCACAGAAGTTTTCAGATCTAGTCAATGTCTTACGAGGGAGACCCATGAAGAGGGGCATCATGAAAGAGGTGGAATGTAAACAGGATGCTTCTGTGATTTTCCCAGTGACCAGTTAATCAACACGGGAATGGTTTGTTGGCTGAGGAGACTAGAAAGGCATCACACAACTGATGGACAGCCACGGAAACAGTGCCATTACCCTTTCTATTCTTTCTCTTTTGTTTTAAATGATTACCATTATCCTTCATATAGAATATTCTCTCTAGAGGAAGAAACATAAGGATAAAACTAAAATGCACAGCTAAAAACACACATTAGACTTGAAAGAGGTAGGTACCGAATAAAATACCTAGTGAATACACAACTATTAAAGCCATGATTTGATATTTTTGTATTATTTTCTTATTTTCTTTAGCCTTTGTACTTATTAACAGCACTAATTGTTCTGCAACACAAAAATTACATTACAAGCGAAGAGAAATAATATGAATGGAAGAATAAGAATAGCCTTATTTTTTTGCCAGAGTTTCAGAAAGACAAATGAAATTAAATCACTAAGAAATGATTAAATATATGTTCTTTTCAGAAAAGAAGTTGGAAGGATTTTAGTCATTTATAGAAGGCAATTGCTGCCAGGTGGCGGTGCATGACTTCAATCCCAGTACTCAGGCAGTAGAGGAAGAAGGATTTTTGCAAGTTTGAGGCTACCTTGTTCTTCAGAGTGAGTTCTGGATAAGCCAGGGCTACATTATAAGAATGTGGTATTTAAACAAATGTCCAGAAAGGAAAATGAGTGAATGAGCTTCTGTGTCTGCTCTCCACTAACCCCTAAAATAGTTCATGGTCTGGCTTTATTGATGCTGCCTTTGATGCTAAGGCCAGAAAACATGCTTTTAAGGTTATAAATATGTATATACAGATAGGACTATACTCAAGCAGAAATTGAAACATTTGAATCAAATAATTAACATTAAATATTTAAGTAAAATAATGTGACCGGTTAATAGAAAGCATTGGAAGGCAATTTATAAACACTCTGCTTTGTTTGTTTATTTGATTATAAATTCCAGAATAGCACACAATTGTTTTCATGACCATATAACTGAAGCTTTTCTTCAATAGAAGAGTTACTATTTAGACTGAAAAAAATAGCTTCAGTTTGCTTTTGATGTAAAACTATTTCACATCAATAAATATAACCAGGGTAGATTGAAGTATCTCTTTAAACACTGCCAGACATTCTTTGAAGGACAATGTTAATTTTGCATTCTAAAATCAACTATTAAGTGTTTAAAATTTCCCATGATTTGTACCTCTAATACCAATTAGTCTATGTATATGGCTTCAATATCATGCTATTCCTTGCTTATTTGGTTGGTTATTACTTTGTACTATATACATACAAATATATGGATATATTTTCAATTTAATTCTATTTCATTAACTATGTGTTGACTATTATACTGCGTTTTTCTTAGACTAATATACCTTACCGTTTGGTGTAGTCTTATTTTATCATTATAGCATACACAAGGGTGGTAATAATTATCTAGATACTCAGGAAGAGATAAAATAAGTAGTCAGATACAAAGATGGGCAGACAACAATCAGATGATAGATAACAGTTACAGATATGAGCTTGTTAGAGACACTTGACAGAAATGAATTATTCTGTGGTAGCAGTCCACATAAGCAAGGGATATGAATCCTCAAAAGCTTTCCTCACTGGAACTAAATTCTAGTGAAATCAGCATTGAACAAAATTACTGAAACAAGGGAGAAATAAAAATAGAAGCAATGAATTTCAGTACTTTTTTGTGAATCTGTAATGCATGTACAAGTCTGGTTACCTTGCATCTGTGGTTATGATCCTGACTCAGCATTGTTTCTTTTTCACAGTTGGCTGACATTGTGAAGTTTGCAAAGTCTAGTAATATGAATGCTATTTGTCAAGTGTATCAGTCAGTTTTCTTGCATGCGGTCTCCATACCACGGTATTCTCTACATAGCTGGTTTGTTACTGTTTAATAAAACAAAACTATACTAAGGTAATTACTATACATCAAATTTTAGAATCTATTCAATGGAAATTATATCTTATTGCCTGTAAACAAGAAGAAGCCTAGGAGCAGAGAGGCTCTTCTGATTTACAGTTCAGGGAAATGCATTCCCCTTGTGACAGCTGAAGCACACAGCTGCTGGTCACAGTGGGATTTTACACGGGATGCAGAGCAGGAAGTCTCCTCTCCACTGGCTTTCTCATTTTTATTCAGCCCAGGACCCAAGCACATCAGATCATTCTCTTCATATCCAAGACAGGTCTTCTCTCTTAAATTACCCCTTTTTAGAGACACTGTCATGGGTACAATCAGAGACTGTTTCCATGGAAATTCTAAAACCGGCAAAGCTCGAATGAAGATTAACTATTATATCAGAGTAAACCACAGGTAAGAGTCAGGAATGCAAATTCACATCAGAAGTTTCTCATAATATTTTTACATTTAAGCTATGAGCTGCAGATCAATGTGAATTAAATTCAGTGAGCTTTCATTCAGAAGGAAAAGGAGAAAAGTTTTATTGCTCCAACTTTAATAGATTGGCTTCATTAATAAGCAGCACATGTACTAGAGCTGAAAAAAATCATGGCCTGAAAACAAACTAATCTATATTAAACTTACATAAAACTTCGATTGCCTGTCAGCCTCTCCGCATTACACTTAGCTAAGTTTTGTTCCATTCATTTCTTTTTATGCTGCCAGACACCCCTTTAAAGACAAATATGTCAATGGTGAGTTGTAGCCCTTGACTTTGTGATTGGAGGATAAGTGACATGGAATAAGCTGGTCTCTCCATGATACTCCCTGAGGGTGCTCTGACAGCATGAGAGATTGTGGAGCCAAGATCAAATAAATGAGAAGAGGAATCGTTAGCTACTCACAAGTCTCCCATTGTCTTGAATAATTCCCGAGTAGCTCATGATAGGTCAACTTTGCCCACTTTTCCTTGCAGCAGTGGAGTTCTCTTTATTTTAGGAGATAGGAATTCTTAGTTTGTATTAGCAGGTATATTTGTTCAACTTCCTCTCTATATATACAAATGTTCATGTCACACACATATAATAATGCCTTCTCTAAAATCAAGGAAGTCTATGCTGCTGAAGTAAAAAAAAAACATGATTTTGAATTTTTGACTCTGAAATTATGTTTAAAAATTACTATCCTTCAGGCAGTGGTGGCGCATGCCTTTAATCCCAGCACTTGAGAGACAGAGGCAGGCAGATTTCTGTGAGTTTGCGGCCAGCCTGGTTTACAAGAGCTAGTGCCAAGGCAGTCTCCAAAGCTACACAGAGAAACCCTGTCCCAAAAACTCAAAACAAAAGAAAGAAAGAAAAGAAGAAAGAAAGAAAATAACACTGTCTCTAAAAACAAAGAAAAAATTATTATCCTTATAAATTTTATGTTTATCTTTAAGAAGGAAGAAGAGAGAGAGGAAAGAAAATTGGGGGAGTTTGGAGGGAACGCATCAGCCTGTTTCTGGTTCTCAGTAACAGCTTGTAGAAAGATGAGTCTCTTCTAGAAGCAATAGCTTCTCTCTACCAAAATAAAGATAGAAAGAGAAAGAGGAGTTGACAGGGGAAGATTGAGAGGGAACATTGGAACTAAGTATAGACATTTCCTATTGCTAGACATTAATTTAGCAAGAACACAAACTGTCCTGAAATGCAGCAAATCTCTCCTTTTAACCTGCCAGCTCAATTTCTTTGCTCTTCATCTGCTGCTCTCCCACTGGGGTTAACTTCTCTTCAATAAACTGTACTGAACGGGGGGCTAAAGTGGTCTCAGAGAGTGTGCTTATGGGGGGCAAACAAGTCTTAATTTTTTGATATTTTTATGTAATCTCTTATTTTCATATAAAATTAAGTGGAATAGATATAGTCTGCATTGTTTCTGAAGAGTTTAAACAAAAACAACCGAGGACCTATCTTGTGTAAAGGTGGGAGCTTTAGAAGCTCCATTTTCATTAACACTGATTAATATCCAAATGCCAGCTCTGAATCGCATGCCCTCTTCTGCCCTCTGCGTGTCTGTAATTAAGCTGCAGACCACCAGTGTCAGCGCCGAAGCTTACCTAATTACACCAAAGGCATCTGATGCTCACGGAAAGGGCAACTGTGGCTCCAGTTTCTCAGAAGGACAGGACAGAAACAGACAATTAGAATTAGAGATAACCTTCAGAAAATGGTAAAGAAAATTCCAACATAGACTAGTGAGGTACATCAAAGACTTTTTTATTTTTCCATTAGCTATGACCCTCTGTCCTTCTTTACATCCCGGGAATTCAGTTTTAAATTTGAATTCTGTATAGTTTTCCCATTGATATTTGTCTATTTAGAAATTCACCATGACACGTTTACCAGATTACAGAGTAAAAGTCTTCTTAAACTTAAAAACTAATAAATTTGCAGCAAAAGTAAAGAGTAGTTTACATTTTTCATTCCTATATTCAGATTGTATGTTTTTGGACGAAGTAGGCAGGACAGTCAAAAGCAGTCAAATACATCAGCATTCCCCACCG